AAAATCCATGCCTTGCTTAAGTCTGGTTTCTTCTTTAACTAATATATTAGTAAGATATCATGATCATCCCGAATAATATTTAATGTAATTAAAACAATAACTACTAAATTGAATTTATAGAGATGATACCAAGTGTCTTATTTTATATTATATGTTCTTTTTTCCCACTTCATTTAATTTCTATATCCTGTGTTAGATTTTTCCCATGGTATTTTTTTCCAGTACAATATAGTTATTGAAAGAGTGTTGTTTAGGACCATATTATTCTCTCCATGTATATTTTACTTTCTTTATATTAGTGCTCTCACAACTGGGTTAATTAAGCAAAATATATTAGAAATATTGTACCTATTTTAGTATATGTCTCTTCTATTTTATTTTTTAAAAATATTTTTTTATATTAGTTCTCTCACACTTAGGTCAATTAAGTATATTATATTAAAACATTGTACCTCTTTTAGTATGACTCTTCAAATTTTGATAAAAAATTGCTTTAATAACTTTCGCATAAAATCTAATTATTTTAATCCAAATAATTTGTAATTAGTTTGTTAAAAGAAAGGACAATTTTCTAATTTAAAAATTATTACACTACAAACTTTTCATTTTTCATTTAAGAATAATTGTATATAGGACCATAAATATTTATAGCAAATTTAATGTCACAAATTTCAATTTCTCTACTAATTTAAATTATATCATAGAAATTGACTCGATACATGTTTCCCTATTATTGGATGTACGGAGTTATTTAAGGAAGTACTAGACTAGATGGCCGGTGGGTGTTGATTTGTGTGACATAAGATTTTATCAATAATGAGATAAATTAATTATGAAGACATTAAAAAGAAAGAGAGAATATTTTAGAACATACCCTAGGTCAACTAGAAGAAATTAAAGCTTAAGCCAATGTGGTTGCAATAGCCCTAATTCAGTGCACGTTGAAGGTGGACTTTTATCCTTCAATTTAATCTTAGAGGATTAGCAATATTTTTTGTTGACTATAAAGCTAAATATTTGCTTCTACTAAGGTTTTGACTTTAAATGAAAAATTTGTTTAATTAATTATAATGTCAAACGCCATAAAAACTCCTGAGTCATGTAGCTCTGGTTGCTTGCAGGCTTTGTGGAAATAAATAAACAAGAAATAAGATTTTCTAGATCTTTTTTCTAAAAAATTCAATATAAATTGATCTCATATATTGACCTTCTAATCATTTTATTTGCCAAAAGAAGATTGACTTTCGAGTACCTGTATTGTGCATATACACCTTTTCTTTCTTTCTTTTGTCTAGTACAAGACTGAGATACATCTCTTTTAAATAAAATCAAAACATATGACTCATCCTTAAAAAAAAATTCATAATTAGTAGGCATATATATATATATATATATATATATATATATATATATTATTATTATTATTATTATTATCAAGTTAAATAATTTAATGAAAGATTTTTATCGTTGTCACACCTCTAAATTGTGGTGGTTGAATAGCATAGGTTAGTTGCAACCCCACAAATTACATAAAATAAAGGGGGTTTCACAACTGATAGAAAATAAAAGTAAATAGTGGGGGTTTCAAATTTCCGCCATCTAGAATAAAAAAATCTAAATAAATAGCAGGAGTTTTAAACCCAAAATTTGAAAATACATTATTTTTATTCCAAAATAGAAAATGTGGCATCTATATTTTTATCGTGTACTTTAATTCTAATACAAAATAGCATGTACTTTTTCACTTCTCAACCGTCATCTTCGGCGGCACCTCCACTTTGCCACTTCTTCAACTACCTCATCAGATTTAGAATTGCGATATCAATAATTTTTTCACTCCTCTCATGTTTCTAGATATTTTGAATCTCGGATAAGAAAGTTTTAGACAAATTATCAGTTATATACACACTATATAAGGTCGTTTTTTTTCTTGTTTGTATAGATACAGGTGCAAATGTAATTAAACTTATGTTGTACTAATCATGAACGAAAATTTGAAATTGCCAAATTTGAACTGCTTAACAAACTTTGTAGTTAAAATTACTATGAAAATAACTTTTACTCGCAATTTGAGATCTATTATATCTAGCTGTTTGAGGCTTCTATGATTATTTTGGATTTATTTGATCTTGTGAGGTTTTGGTATTAAATTAGTGAAAGAGACTGGTTAAAGTTTTTCGATTCTCTAAAATGTTTTCACTGTCTCATTCCTCTTGAAAGGATTGTATTGGTAGTTTACTGGACCTTCAAGGAACACAAATATGTCTTCTATTTGCAATAATTGACTAAAATTTTTCTTTGTGGTTACCGTTGAATGTGTGCCTGCCATGAGGAAAAGTAACTTGAATTATGTGGATGAGTTAGACAGGGTACTGCAGGATAACGTTCATCACACACAAAGGCGGATTCAGGATTTTGAGTTTCTGCGTGCCAAATAGATTCATGGGTTAAATCAATTTTAGGCTTCAATCGACTTATTCCTCTTTCCGGTCTATGACAAATATGAACAATAAGAAGATGACAATTGATGTATTATATATACTACAAATTATTTTTGCATGAGTTATGCTAATTTTCTCCGCATTGTTTCAATTTTATCAGATATCTCCAACGAAGCAAAAGTTTATCGCTTTAATTTAGATGCTTTTGTTGAAAGTCGAATTCAAGATGATTTTTTCTATATAATATTTGGGGAAAATCACTTTAGCTCAATTGGTTGACTATTTGAACTCTCACGCTACCATTTTCCCTTCCTTACCTCCACATATAAATACAAATTTGCACCCCACATTTGATTGAGATCATAAAGTGAACAAAGTTAAAACTTGCAATTATACTATGAATATAATTAATATTCATTTAAAAATTGTACTCGACAATTTTCATATTTTGAAAACGATCAATGACGATATCATTGCTTATATTTACAACAAATCATATTTTATGTAACACACTAGTCAAATATACTTATAAATTACTACTCCATATTAAGACAACTATTAGAAACAAACAAAAAAAATAATGTGCCGTTGTCATATTAAGGAAGAAGAAAGTTAAACTTGCAAATAAAGAACTGCCAGGCGAGCAAGTTAAAAAAAAATACTAGGGCCTCCGCGAGGTTCGACCTCGCGACTTTTGTGTTAGAATTATGACCCTTAGCCAGCAGTTACACAAGGCCTATTTTTTCTATAGGTGGCACGTTTCATATTTATAATTATATTGTAGATATATACCTATATACACTAGATTTTCCGTCGAAGCTCGTGGGTGGCATGACACCCCCACAAACCTTACTAGATCCGCCCATGATCATACACTAAGAAAGAGTCTAAGATTTGTAGAGGATATATCTAATGTTGAAATAGGGCCTCCAAATTATAATATATTATCTCAAACTCTGCAATGATGGAGTCTCTGCCATTTGAGTGTTCAGACTCCGATTCAGATTTTGTAAGTAAAAAGAAAACCAAAGAATGTAGAAAGGGTTAAGTCTTTAAAACAAAAATGAAAAGAAACTAGTTCAATATAAAAAGTTGGTTCCCAATTCCCAAGTCTAAGAAGGGAAAAATGTTGTACAGGTTTTTAAAAATAAATTTATGTTTCAATTATTCAATTTTATTTCATTTAATTTTTATATAGATATGAAATTGACATGATTTTGGTACAAATATGTCATGCCCCGAGCCTACATCTTGGACATGGCCGACACTCAATGACCATTGTTGGCCTTGAGCGGACCCTTGACCTGACTTACTTAACTCAGCGAAAGACTTAACTCAATATAAGAAGACATTCTCATAAAGTAACTCGAATTAAATAGCATGGGAAAAATAACACTAAAGTCTCATAGCAAAACATCCGTAATACAAAAAAGAGACTCAAAACTAAAATGTTTGATTGTCTAACTGTCTATGAAGACTCTATAATACTACCATGGATGTTGGGCGGACCCCACAACATTCTATAAATGAATGATCGGAAAGCATGTAAATGCGTCTTCCAAGAATGTAAGGAGGCTCACCACGACTCCGAGTGCTAGCTGGATCAACAAGGCGCTAGATGATGTTTATCTTGGTTACCTGCATCAATGATACAATGCAGGCCAACTGATATCAGTGTATTGAATGTACGAGTATGCGAGTTGAAATGCTAACAATAACTTAAGCTTGAAAATAATAAGAAGGAACACTTACCTTAGCTCTGCTCAACTCATGAATAACTTGAATAAATATAAAACAATAAGATATATTCAATGTATAAAAACTTGCAAAACAGTGTTAAAACTTAGTTTTCGGCATAGGCTAAACTACGAAACTGGGTGAAAAGAATGATTTGGGTGCATCCAGGGCGCGCTGTGCCATACCTCAAGTTCAGAGGCCTCATTCTTGTGAGTTGCAGGTGAACTGTCCCAGGACCTCTAGCGCAGAAGGGGCGCGCCCCGCCTGGTGCTGCCCAAGTGTGGCTGACGACTTTCTCCTCTTTGATTTTCAATACTAAACCCTCTAAATCTCCATGTTTCTTTTCCCAAACCCTTAGGATCCTTAACCAATAGATCTAACTTGAAAAAAAACTTGGATTTATGAATCAAACAACAATGGGCATTCAAACAACTCTACCAGCGGGAATTCGTCAAGATTCTTCAATAACTGACTTCTTAACATGTAAATAATTCTAAAACCACTGAATTGAAATAAGTTTGGTATGTAGGTGAACTAAACAAACACAAAATATCTCACATACATTGATAGGGATCACCCCCGACGAATTTCACTAGCAAATCTTTAGCGTTCTTGGCGAATTTCTTGACTTTTTTGCCTTTCCTTCTTCTTTTCTCTCTTCTTTAAGCTCTAAGCATGATTTTGATTTTCTAATATGAACCAAAACCTCTAAAACGAAATAGAAAATTAATTGGCTTGAATCCAAATTGGGACCTTCCTCGATCTAATAACCCAACCTCTGATAGACATATCTCTCTCATATAATATTGAAAATGCGCAAATTCAGTGGTATTGGAAAAATCTCTCCAAGAGCTTTGCAACCACATCAATAACTGACTCTAAATCATCCTGATCTAGAAGTAATGGCCATTTGAAAATGACCAAAACTCACTTTCTCAACTAAGGAAATTTTCCAGATTTTTCCCTTTCTTTCCCAAAGTGATTATTTTTAGTTTCTTAGATTACTCTTAGCTATTTCGAGTTATGAGATGTTACAATATATCCCCCTTAGGAACATTCATCCTCAAATGAGTTTTCTTTCACTAAGCTAAGAATATTACCCTCAAGTTTAGCACTCAAAAATCGAAGGCAAGTAACAACATGCTTACTCATAGTTTATAAAGTACCAAGAAGAGAATTAGTACCTTGATCCACATTCTCTCCGGATTCAAAGAGAAATGGATATATCTTCTTCATATCCTCTTCAGATTCCCAAGTCCCTTCTTCAACAAATTGGTTTCTCCAAAAAACCTTCACTGATTCTACCTCCTTTGTTGTCAACTTGCGAACTTGGCGATCTAAAATCTGAATTGGAATCTCCTCATAGGATAAAATATCCTTAATCCTAATATTTTCAGTTGGTACAATCAATGAAGGATCACCCATGCAATTCTTCAACATGAAAATATGAAATACCAGTTGAACCATTGCTAACTCTTGTGGTAGCTCAAACTCATAAGCTACATTGCCAATCTTTTTGGATATTCTATAAAGACCAATATACCAGGAACTAAGTTTCGCCTTCTTACCAAACCTCATAACACCCTCATGGGTAAAACTTTCAAATATACCCAATCATCTACTTCAAACTCCAACGACCTTCTCCTAACATTTGTGTAGGACTTTTTGACAACTCTATACCATTTTTAGTATCTCTTGAATCACCTTCACCTTATCCATGGCTTGGTGAACTAGATATGGTACTATCAACCCTACTTCACTAACTTCGAACCACCCAATAAGATATTTGCATCTTCTCTCATAAAGAGCTTCTTATGGAGCCATTTGGATGCTTGAATGATAGTTGTTATTGTAAGCAAACTCAATGAGAGGTAGGTGATCATTCCAATTTCCCTTGAAATCAATCACACAAGCACTCAACATATCTTCTAAGGTATGGATAGTACTCTCAGCTTGCCCATCTGTATGAGGGTGAAAAATAGTGTTTAAGTTCACCTTTGAACCCAAAATTTTCTGGAACAGGTGTAGTAAATTAGGTACCTCTATCTGAGATCGACATTGGGACTTCATGAAGCCTCACCACCTCCTGAATGTATAACTTTGCATAATCCTCTTTCGAATGAGTGGTATTTATTGGCAAAAAGTGGGATAATTTTGTCAGTGTATCGACAATCACCCAAATTTAATCATGCTGCCTGTGAGTTCTTGGAAAGCCTGTGATGTAGTTCATATTAGTCATCTCCCACTTTCATTTCAAAATTTTTATATTCTGAGCCAGCCCTCTAGGCCTCTGGTGTTCTACTTTCACTTCCTGGCAATTTGGGCACTTGGTAACAAACCCAACAATGTCTTTTTTCATACCTTCCCACTAATATATCTCTTTTAGATCGTGGTCCATCTCTGTGGAACCTGGATGGATGAAATATCTGGATCTATGAGCTTCTTTCATGATCCTCACTTAGAGTCCATTCACCCTAGGTACACACAATCTACCTTGATACTTTAGCACACCATCTCTCCCTTGTTCAAAAGCTAATACTCTTTACTTATGAACATTTGCCTTCAAATCAAGCAAAATGGGGTCTTAGTCTTGTTTTTTTTCACCTATGACATTAGTGATGATTCAACCCTATTTATAACCACTATCCCTCCTTTTGTGGAATTCATAAGTTTGACTCCAGGCATGCAGGTCTGTGCACATCTTTGGCTAACTCCCTCTTTTCTTCGTCAACATGGGTGGTAAATAATACTCATGTCATAATTCTTGAGTAATTCTAACCACCTCCTATGTTTGAGATTGAACTCTTTCCAGGTGAACACATATTGCAGGCTCTTGTGATCAGTGAATATATCAACATGAACACCATATAAGTAGTGACACCATATGTTCAAGGAGAATACTACAACAACCAACTCTAAGTCATTGCATTAACAGACAACCCAACCCAACTCTAGATGCATCACAATATACCACAAAACCTTAAGTACCCTTTGGCAAGGTTAAAACTAGGGCATTTTTCAACCTCATTTTCAACTCCTGAAAGCTTTTCTCACAAGAACTTAACTGTTTTTTGAGTCAACTTGGTCAACGGAGAAGAGATAGATGAAAACTCTTCAACAAACCTTCTATAGTAGCCAGCCAAATCCAAAAAATTCCTAATATCAGTTGGAGACGTGGGTCTGGGCCAACTTTGAACTGCTTTTATTTTTTAGGTATCAACTCTAATCTCATCATCGAGAACTATGTGGCTCAAGAATGCCGCGGAGTTAAACCAAAACTCACACTTGGAGAACTTTGCATACAACTCCTTATATTTCAAAGTCTGAAGGAATATCCCGAGGTGACTAACATGATCTTCTTCATTCCCTGAATAGATTAGTATGTCATTAATGAAAATGATGAAAAACATATTTAGATAAAGTTTGAAGACTTTATTCATAAGATCCATGAATGTTGTTGGTGCATTAGTCAACCAAAAAACATGACCAAAAACTCATAATGCCCATATCTGATTCTAAAATTTGTCTTTGGAATGTCACATTCCCTAACCTTTAACTGATGGTAGCCAGATTTAAGATCAATTTAAGAAATAGGTGGCAATATGGAGTTGATTAAAAATATCATCTATCCTTGGAAGAGGATACTTATTGTTGATGGTAAACTTATTCAGCTGATGGTAGTCTATACACATCCCAAGAAAACCATCCTTGTTTCTCACAAACAAGACTGGAGCGCCCCAAGGTGAGAAACTTGGTCAAATGAAACCTTTATCTAACAGTTCTTTGAATTGTTCTTTCAACTCTAACAACTCTTCTTGTGCCATTTTATATGACGGAATAGAGATAGGACGAGTATTTCGAATGATGTTTATGCTGAAGTCTATTTATTTCTTAGGAAGGACTCTGGGTAGATCATCAGGAAAGACTTCTGGAAACTTCTTTACTATAGAAATTGTATGAAGGAAAGGTACCTTAGCACTTGAGTCATTATCTCAAATTAAGTGATTGATAAATCCCTTTGAAACTAACTTTCTTGCCTTATGAAATGAACCGACCCTTAGGCACATAATTACTACCCCACTATATAATTGGTTTATTAGGAATCTGAATCTTGGAGAACTCGAGTTCTATAATTTATTGACGCATAATAAGCATGAAACCAGTCTATACCTAGAATGATATCAAAATCTACCATGCGAACTCCACTAGGTCAGCCATGGTGTTCTTGTGATTGATGGATACTGGACAATCACGATAGACTCTTTCCGCTAGAATAAACTCCCCAAAAGGTGTCAAAATACATAAATGTTCTAAAGTTTCTCAGGAAGAATTTCAAACTGATTTGCAACAGAAGGAATTACAAAAGACAAGCTTGCTCCTGGGTCTACCAAAACATAAATATCAAAATTAAAGACTTTGATCATGCCGGGCGACAACATCTGGAGAGATGTATTTCTCTTGGTGGCTAGTGATTGCACATAGGAGGTTTGAACCTCCGGCAGTACCAGAAGTGGCTCCTCTAGGTACAGCTCTTTCTGATGGCTCAACTGATGAAGATTAGGCTCTCTAGCCAGGATTTCAACTACTCTGCCAGTTCTTAGGGAAATCCCTCAAGAAGTGAATCTCCTAAACACACTTAAAGCAACCCGTTTGGCCATCAGGACATTTACCTGGGTGGGTTCTACCACACTTATCACATTCAGGAGTCTAACAACCTCTTTATGCCACACTTCTTTGATAATATGTCTTTAAAGTTCTACGAATTCTGGACATGATGCTCACCTTTGTTTCTGTGTGCAGGAGCAATACCAAATGACGCTGCAAACCCCTTTTTTTCTGAAACTGTGGCCGATTCGAACCACTCTTTTGTTACCCAGTCTCATTCCAGTCTTAATTTTCTTGCTTATATACTCTTCTCTGTCCCTCAGCTTCTCCTTTTCGACTTGCTTCACACAAAACATCAACATGGATATGTCCATATCACCTATCAACATCGCATCTCTTTCCTCTTTGCTTGATGCACGACCTAAGCCAACGACAAACAAGATTATTCTACTCATCATTTCCTTAACCATTTTAGGAGCATAGAAAGATAGATGGGTGAACTTCAACCCATACTTATGTACACTCAAAGAGTCCTATTTCAGTGTATGGATATCTCATATCTTAGCCTCTTTCAGCTCTCGGGGAAAGAAACACCCCAAGAAACCTTCTTCAAAGTAAGCCCAACTAGGATGTGGTGAAACCTCAGATTTGCCCTTCTTCCACTGGTCGAACAAATTCCTAGCAACATTCTTCAGTTGGTACGCAACTAGCTCAACTCTTTCGGCATCAATGACCTGAATCACATCAAAAACCTTCTTTATCTCATCAATGAAATTCTCTGGATCCTTAGTAGTGCTCGAACCGGTGAAACTGGGAGGATTCATTCCCAAGAATTCACGAATCCTCAAGGTGTCAGCCTCTTCTTCTCGAGCTCCTCTTTGTTGTCCTACCTAATTAGTCACAACTTGGATGGACATCAAGATAGCTTCACATAATTCAGCATTTGTGACTTCTCTTTGAGGTTGCACGTTGGTGCATTAGGTACCTCTGGCTCCTCGATACTCCTCAGAGATAGACGACCTCTTATCACTTTTTGTGGAGGCATGATGATCTGAAACACGTGCAATGAGGAATTAGAGATAAATTTTTAGATGTAACTCTAATGCACGAATGGATATGAAAGAAGTGAGAAATTCCTAAATGTTGTAGCATCCTTATTATAGATGTGGCGCGCTTCATATTGATAGCTAGGACTCTACAGACATGGCTTCATAGACTCCCTAGGACTCTTGAACTCAATGCTCTGATATCAAGTTTGTCACGGGCCAAGCCTACACCTTGGACTTGGTCGGCACCTATTGACCATTGTTGGCCTAGAGCAGACTCTTAGCCTGACTTACTTAAATCAGCGGAAGACTTAACTCACTATAATAAGTCATTCTCGTAAAGTAACTTGAATTAGAATAGCTTGGCCAAAATTACACTTAAGTCTCATAATAAAATATTTGTAAATAAAGAGAAACTCAAAAACTAATGTGTTTGACTGTCTATCTCTCTATGAATGCCTATATAAAACTAAGATGAATGTTGGGACATACCCCACAACATCCTATGAATTAATAGACTTAAAAACAGTAAATACGTGTCCTCTAGTATGCTAGGAGTCTAACAACCGACTCCGAGGGCTTGTCTAAATCAACAAGGCACTGGATATTGCTGATCTTGATTACCTGCATCTGCATCATGACACGTTGCAGGCCAATTGGCATTAGTACATTGAATCTATGAGTATGCGAGTTGGAATGCTAACAAAACTTAAGCTTTAAAAGAACAAGAAGAAACACTTACCTTGACTCTGCTCAACTCATGAAAACTTAATTTAATATAAAGCGATAAAGCTTGTTAAAGCAATAAAAACACGTAGTTCGTTAAAGAAAATGCAATAACTAACTCAATATTTCTTATAGATAAAGTAATATAGCTTCAGTACAAAATTCTCTAATCGACAATAACGACTATGAGCCTAATGGTGATACATCGTCTTGCCCACGCTGCAAGAATTTTTCTATACTTTGCTGTTGTATAGGATTCTTTAACTTAGTGGATCCACTAGCTTAACTTACGTGATAATCTAAAAAGTATCACCCGTTAATACCTATGATAGTTACATGATTTTCATGGAGACAAGTTAATATGAACTCTCATCCCCACATCGGTGCTCAATAATACTCCCAAAATATACTTTAGCTCATACTTTTAAATCAACTTCTTTCTTTGGGTTGAGATAATTGCTCAACGCTTAGCTTTCTTGGAATCAATGTTCCCTTTTCTTGTTCAAAACTCTTATGAGAAATCTTTGTTTTCTCTTAACTTAAATGTGAAAACATTTATAAACTTTCTAGTGAATACTGAGTTCCCTTGAAACTTTTGAGAATGAACTCAACTCTTTAGTCTTTGCTTAACTTTAAACTTGAGTCTTAAATCAACTCTTAGGGAATACTTAGTTTCCTTATAAATCTTGAAGTAAAGACTTCAACTTTTTACTCTTTACTTTAACTTGAAACTTGAGCCTTAAAACAAAGTCAAAACGTTTAGTAAATACTCTTGAACTTTAAGGAATTTTGCTTTGACTTACTTTTCAACTTCTAGACTTAACTCTTAACTTCTTTGGCTTTGATCTTAACTTTCCTTGAATTGGATTATAGATTCAATGCTCTTATGTTTGTGGATGATTTCATCATGTTTAGATATAACTTAGTGTTGAAATCAACTAGAAAACATGGGTACATTACTTAGGAACTAGTGCGAAAAGATAGGGAATGAATAGGGAGAACTGGCGTCCCCAGCGCGGGGCGCCAACCCTCAAACTTCAGAGAAGTTTCTCTGGCGTACTAGCCGGCTCGACGTGCCAGAGGCAAAAGTTTAGAGGAACTTTTTTGGCGCTTAGGCAGGCGCGTAGCCCCAAGCTTTACCCAAAAAAATCCTCTGACTTTTCGCCTTCATTTTTTTTTATCTCTAAACCTTCTAATTTTTCTAAACACTTAGTATCATTACTACGCTCAATAGCCAATAGATTCGACTCAAGAAACAACCCACAAACACAAATCAAATCAACTCTAGGCATGCAACACCTCAACCAACAATAATTTAACAATGTTCTTCAAGTACTTCACTTTTCATCATTCAATCTACTCAAAACCACTGAATTAAACAAGTTGGTGTGTGGGTGAACAAACCCAACACGAAAAGATCTCACATACCTTGATAGGGATAACCCCCGATGAATTTCACTCGTAAACCTTGGTGTTCTTGTCGAATTCTTGACTTTTTTACATTTCCTTCTTCCTTTCTCTCTTCTTGAAGCCCTAAGCATGATTTTTGTTCTAACATTGATTGATGAAAAGACTAGTTTACCCTTCCTTAAATACGGATTGGAACCTTCCTCAGTCCAACAACTGAACTTCCTATAGACATATCTCCCTCATACATTATCAAAAATGCACAAACTTCACGGCATTGGAAAGATCTCTCCAAGGACTTTCAAACCATATCAATAACTACCTTTAACTCATCCTGAACTAAGAGTTATGGTTGTTTCAAAATGATCAAAACTCACTTTCTTAACTTAGAAATTTTATAGATTTTTCCATTTCTTTCCAAAAGTTATTATTTTTAATTTCTTAGCTTATTCTTAGCTATTACGAGTTACGAGATACAACAGTTTAAACCCTAGTGAAGAACAGGGACATCTTCTTGGGCCATGGTCCTCACTATGGACCATAGTAGCCTCGTGGTGCATGTTCCAGTGGCCAAGCTTGAAGAGTAAATTTTGGGAAGTTCTAAGGGAAGTTAACGGAAGACTTCACGATCCGTGGAGCCTTTCAAGAGCCATATAAGCGGCCCTAGAGACATCCAAAATTTCAGTCCTAGTATTGATTATTGAATTCCTAATTATTTTCATAAGTCCTCCCCATTATATTTTCATCCCTAATTATTGAATGCGTATGTGAAAGCATGAGTTGCTAAATACCACACCTGGGATTGTGGTATCTATCATGAAATTATAGTTGTGATTCCGTGAAATAGGTAACGGGAAGTCTCTGTTTACAGTCTTTAGTTTTTAACTTTCAATATCTTTTAGTATTGTGAGTGAACGCGTTAGACGAGCATGTAAATAATATTTATTTGAAAAGAAATACCAGCTAGGAAAAAGGTGAACTAACTTAACAAATTGGAGTTAAAGTTTGAGTTCGAGAGAAAAGGATTTCAACACCATATTATTGTAAGCGAGGGTGAATGTTAGTAACACTCTAGGGTCAAGAGAAAATGAGTGATAATTATCTTAATAGGCTGAGAAGTACCAGATAAATTTGACTTGCAATGATTTTGTAGATATTGACTTGCCTGAAGCTAAAATACGGAAAAAAAATGTTATATTAAAGTAATAGAGAACACAATCCTAGTTTCTTTTAATTAACTGAATCAATACTTACCACGAAATAGTTTGTTAGTCTTGAAAATTGAGTTTGACATCAAGTTTTGGTAATTATTACATTTCAACCATACCCAATTTACTTTCGGTTGCTATTTTTTTTGGAAATGATAAGAGCATTCGAATAAAAGCGACAGTCTAGCCTTATATGTAAAGAAATTCTCTGTGGGATATACCTCAACTCTAGTTGAATTTTGTAAATTGACATCAACCATTTATACTTCTTATTTTAAGTGTAAGTTTGGATGTAGTAACACGAAGATTCCCCCAACTCATTCGAATGTCATCATAATGTTTTTTGAGAAAAACCTTTGGTGCTCGGGGTGCCAGATTCATAGGCTAATACACAAGAGAAATTGGGAAATTTGGGAGGTTCTTAAAAAAGAGCTCTTAAATGAGGAAATGGACGTTAAAATGTTGTGAGTATACATGCAGAATTCTCAACACATTACGGAGGTTCTTATAAAGTTTTTTGAAACATAATAATTTTGGGTGCTCTGGGCGCTATTCCATGGGCTAATACACAAGAAAAATTAGAAAGTTTTGGCAGTCCATAAAAAAGGAATTGTAAATGTTATTATGGACATCAAAAACTGTGTGAGTATACATGAAAATTTTCCAACTCATTGCGGAGGTTCTTATAATGTTTTTTGAGAAATAAATATTTGGTTCTCCGGGAGCCTGATCTATGGACTGATACACATGAATATCGGTGACAATTTGAGTGATTATTAAAAAATTGCTTGTAAATAAGAAAATGAGCGTTAAAAATATGGTGTAAATATACGTTAAGATTCCTCAACTCATTATCAGGGTCCTCTTAAATATTTTTAAGAAATATATTTAGATGCTCTGATCGCTAGATCCATGTGCTAATACACAAAAAAAAATGAGAAATTTGGGCGGTTCTCAGAAAGGCAATTGTAAATGTGGAAATTAGCGTTAAGAAATGGTGTGAGTATATGTGATAATTCCCAACTCATTACAGAGGTCCTCATAAATATTTTTGAGAAATTTTTTTTTGTGCTACGGGTGCCT